TTATTTTCAGTGGTCAATATATCTATCTCGTTCGGGAAGTAAGCTAAAAATATTTTTAATTTTTCGTTCCATGTATTACATTTATTCAGCTCTAACGCAAGCTGTAAATAAGAAAATTTTATATAATTAATAATAATAATTGTGCCAAAGTAACATTTGCGTTTTATTAATATAAAAAATAATATAAAATATATTCTTATTTATTTCATTAAAATTCCTTACATATTTATTAATACTCACTTATTGTGCTTTTTATCTAAAACTATTTTTATCCTTTAATCATGACACAAACATACAAAACAAAATGTAAAACTTTCACTATTTCAAGATTCAAATACAATCCCTGAAGATATTCATGTTATAATAAATTATTTTATGTGTGTGTGTGTTATTAATTTATTTAAATTTATATAAGATTAAAATTACATAAATAGCTTTTACAATAAAAAATCAAAATGTGTTTTTTTATCATTTACTAACCTTTTTCTTGTTAATTATAGTGTACATTTCCAATAAACGAAGTAATATCACATTTTGTAACTCATCTGGCGAAGTACAGTCCAAATATTGATTAGTCCAAAATTTTATTTGATCGGGAGCTCCGTCTATTAATATTAAACGTCCTAAGAAATCTTTAGCTTCTAATAATCTTGCTAATTCAATGGCAATTAAAGATCCAAACGAATAACCCACTATTAGAAATTTCTTTTGATCTTTCATTTTCTTTAATATGTGCTAAGAAAATAAATATAAATGTATGTGTAAGCTGTGATATAATACGAAAGATTTGTACCTCTAATTGTTAAATATTACTTATATATATACCTATAAACTATTTAAAAATAATCAAAATAAATATTTTAAATAAATTTAATCTTCTTACAGGCAGCAAATAAGCGGCTGATTTCATCACTGAATGACTTTCATCAGGAATATTAAGTACATCGTGTTGCAAACACGTTGCCGAAGATTTAATTCCTGATGCCACAGTTTTATATACGCTTGAACATCCTTCAATTCCTGGTAAAAGAAATATATTGCCTCGATCAACCTCTTTCTTGGTAACAAATTCTACAAGAATATCTGGAACAAAGTCTGCATCTTTCATTTTTCGAATCAGCATATCAAAGTCTTCTAAATTACTCGGCTCAATTTTATTTGTATCGTGTATCTTTCCTTGTTCTGTTGTAATTGTCATTTGTCGAAGTTTAGCAAAACTTAGAGTTTTAATGTCTTGCGCTGTCAAGGAAATATCGAACTCTCTTTCCAACGTTTGCTTAATTTCAACTGCCATCATCGAATCCATACCCATTTCGACCAGTGGTATGTTTGGTGGCACTGTGTTTATGTTCTTTAATCCTATTTTGAAATAAGGTAAGATTTGTATAATAAAATCAATTTTATGTTATTCTAGTTAATTTTTTAAAATTTAATATACAACAAAAATTTTAATTAAGATTCAAATTATTACATTTCTTGGTAAATATGCATAAAAGGT